TCGGGGCCCGCCTTCCTCCGGCGCGGCGGGGCCGGCTGCGAAGTGCGGGGCCGGGTCTGTGGTTCCCATCGGACCCGGGAGGCGGCAGCGTCGGCCCGAAGTCCCCGCGGTCTCGGGAAAGGCGCGTGAAGACCTCGCGAAGACGCGGGAGACGTCCTTGCGCTATCGCTTCAGGTTCTGCACGGCGAACCCATTTCTCCCCCGCACCAGCCAGTCTGTGACTCGGGAAATGGGTGGTCTCTGTCTCTCTCTTTAGGTTCTTACATAGATCGGGACTCTGATGAGAACCACCCCCTCTTTTGGGGAGTCATGGATGGGGATAGTAAAGATGCATCTTCTTGGGAGTCAGTGAGGCTCGGTGTCTTCTTGGTGACAAAAGGGATGGGGACGGGGGCGTCCCGCAGAGATACAGTATATTTTTGTAATCTTCCCACATATATGCTGGGGAACCGGGTAGGCTTTGGAATGAGCAAAACCAGGTTTAGTTTCTGACCTCAGGTTGTTTGCGGACTAAAAAGGAAGAATACTCAATACTCAAACAAGAGTAAAAGTGCAACGAAGATAATCGCTCCTAAGAAGACTCTCCACTCCAAATGTACCATTGTGGCATAAAGGTTATTTTAGCTGAAATGAAAAAAAAAAAAAGACATAGGCATTGACTGCTCTCTTTCCTGTAGAAAAGCAGAGTGTGAGATTGATTCTTGTAAAGGTAACAGGAACTTCCCCGTGTTACATAAAAAGATATTTGCAACACAAATTTTCCCATTTGTAAATATTTTCATTTCTGAGGGTGAGACAGCTGTCTCTATAAGCAGTCCCAATTGGAGTCTGCAGAAATGTTATAAAAATAGCCTTTATTAGTTGGTTTCCCTCTGAAAGCCCACACTTCTTTCATCTCGTCCCTTCTGCACGATGCATTGCCTTTTCTTAAAATGCAGTATAGGCTCCCAGATCTAGCCCATTGGGTTTCCCCTTCTTTGGAGCATTGCTAGGCCTGGGAAATACACTTTCTTCCCCTTTAAATCTGCCTTGTGGCTGTTCACTATGCAAATCTCAGCTGTTGAAGCTAATTAAGAAGGCAGAGGAAACCTTTATCCTAAGAATATCTAGGAAATAGGAAAGGGTAGTTCTTTGGTTTGATCTGACAGCTTTCTCTACACGACTTCTGTGTATCTTGCGGGGCGTGAAATGGGGGGGGTGTACTTTGCCTACAAATGGAATAGGGAGCTTGGAGAGTTGGAGAGGGGAGGAGCCAATGGGTTGGTCAGGGTTGTTATAGGCCCTATCTAGAAACTTGTGGAATTTGTACCTGCACAGACTGAAAGGGAGTCTCCCTATAAATTTATTGGGGAGAACTGAAACTGGGAGGCAGGAGCACCTGGGCATATTTAAATCATATCAGGGAAACCAGGTCCAAGAATTTATGGAGCAGAAAAGATTGTGTATATAACTTTTGCCTGAATCTCATAAAGTGTTGGGTACTTAGCACTGCGATGACCTGACTCTGTACCAACTTATTATCGGATACCTGGTGTGTATGTTAAGGACCAAGAACTTCCTGACTGTTCCCCATTGCTGGCTGCCTATCCAGATGCCAGTTCGTTGGTTGGGATCTGAACCTGATCCTTCGTTTTCTGCTCTGAATCCAGTTGGGCTTGTTCACACTGAAGCTGATTTCTGCAGCTTCTTTCTCAAACCCGACTTCCGCCAGCACTGGCCTGGGTCCATGTCTTAGCAATCAGTACAAACTTAGTCTACTCCTGAGCCTCTTGAGCTCTGCTTCAGTTTCTTTGACATACGTTCGTTCTGTAACTCATGTATAAGTTTAGAGACAGGTAAGTGTATGACTCTATGCTGTATGATATTCGAGATATTAGTAATTGCGATTGGAATAAAGAACTTGAATACATCTAGTCCAAGATACCAAGGTAGGCCGATTATATCACAAATTACTGACATTGAAATCACTAAACTTGGGTTGGAAAGATAGTGATTAAGAGCACTGGCTGCTGGGCTGGAGAGATGGCTCAGAGGTTAAGAGCATTGCCTGCTCTTCCAAAGGTCCTGAGTTCAATTCCCAGCAACCACATGGTGGCTCACAACCATCTGTAATGGGGTCTGGTGCCCTCTTCTGGCCTGCAGGAATACACACAGACAGAATACTGTATACATAATAAATAAATAAATATTTTAAAAAAAAGAGCACTGGCTGCTCTTCCTGAGGACCCAGGTTCAGTTCCCAGAACCCACATGGCAGCTCACAAATGTCTGTACCTCCAGTTCCAGAAGATCTGACACCCTTACACAGACATACATGCAGGCAAAACGCCAATGTATATAAAATAATAAACTAGTCATAAAAAAGATACCACTAAACTTCGTGAATTTATTTTTATTCAGTAAATTCTGACATTTCCACGTTTTGGAAAGACCCAAAAACACTCATCTCTGTTTCTGGCGTTGTGCGCTCCAGACATAAAACTGTGGAGAAGTCAATGATTCCATTTCAAATGTTCCCACTCCACATGCTCTCCTTTTGTTCTGTGGCGTTCAGCTTCGAAAGCAGAAGTGGTTGTGTACACGTTGCTGGTCAGCGTTGATGGCTGTGGTTGGAAAGTGTTGGGTTCACAAAGAAGGCTTGTAACTTGGCTCTGAGGAAATGCATTTAAAAAGTGCTTTGTGAGGTAGCTTCCAGAAGCTCCTGTGCTTAAGTTGTATTCCCTGATTTATTTTGAATACAAATGTACCAAGCATTAGATGTCTTTAATGACATCACAGGGAAGTCAGACTGTTTACCTGTTCAGTGGGTTCCGTATACTTTTGCTCCCATAGTCACAGTATTAAAGGACATTGTCCTCCTTTAACTTTCCCCCAGGAATTCAGTCTTTGAAGCAAAAATGCAAACAAAACAAAACACATTGCAATAACCACTTAAAGGTCTATTTGGGTCTCCTGATAATGTCTAAGGAACAAAAACTCAAACAAATAAACGAACAAAAAAACCAAAACAAAACAAAACAAAAAAACCCAACAGGTCACCACTCATCACTCAAGTGACTCCTTTGGTTTCCTGATACTGCCTAGGGTCTGAAAACTTGAGAGCTTATAAATAGTGTTTTCAAATGTTGTATTCAAAGACATACATACAGAATTCTTTCAGGATGCATTTTAAACTCCCGGGCTCTACTTTACATTATCTGAATTGAAAACTTTTGTGGACAAGCCCAGAAACCTAAGATGTTAAGATGCATCTTGAATGGTTGCCATGCAAACTATGGCTTGAAAAATCATTGTCCCCCAAGGGAAGAATGGTAGGGACTTTGTGCAGTTTTTCAAACAAATCCTTTGTTTGCTAGTGTTATATGTTTAAGCTATATCTTAAAGCGTTTCACATAGGTCATCTTCACATCTTTCACATCTTCATGACCTTTCACGACTTCCTAACCTCCAAAATGAATCCTCAGAGGTGGATGAGAGCAGAGAGTTCTTTAGTGGGCAACTGCTGTGTATCTAATGCTTTAGGACACGTTTGACTGGGACTGGACAAAATGGCTCAGTGGTTAAGAGCCCTTGCTGCTCTTGCAAAGGATCTGGCTTACAACCATCTGTAATTCTAGTTGCAAGAGATCCAATGCCATCTTCTGGCCTCTGAGGACACATGGCACACAGGTGCATGAACATACATGCAAACACTGACACATATTCATAAGCAATTCTTTAAAAGAGATAGTTCTATGACCCTTTTCATCACTATTAGCTGGGCATTCTAATTCTTACAAACCAACTCAGACAAAGCACAGAGAAATTTTTAGTTTTTTTAAACAACTTTTATTATGGAAAAATTTAAATACTGCATATGAAAATTATCAGCAATAGTATACTGAATTCCTGTATACTGCAAGGTACTTTTGATTTCCAACCATCAGTTAATGTTGGTTTATTTAGTCTCCTTACCCGTGTTCCCTCCTCCATATAGCTTTTCTTCATTTTATTCTGAAGCACATTCCAGATACTTCATTGGATGTGTGTGTGTATGTGTCAGAGGAATGGCTGAGTTACAGTTGGTGAGAGAGCATCTTCTGTTACTATGTGGGATTTGAGGCTGGCACCTGAAGTGTGGGGTAGCTGTATATACTTAGCCCTGAACCAATGAGATCTGACCCCATCTCTCAGCAGGTGTATCAGAGTGGACGTGATGTTTAGGACAGCAGAGTGGTGTCCAGCGGAGAACTGTTCGCTGCGTAGACAAATTCTTCCAGAACACGCTAGGTCACAGAAATGTTCTCCACTGTGACATCACCCCCCCCCCACACACACCCCTGAGAGGATCTAATCTAACAATCTCTTTCTTATGACAATATGCATCCTTCACATCAGCTGCTCTCTTCTTCAGGGCACCTGTTGTTTGTTTGGCTCAGTTCCCATCAGAATTAGGACACATTTCCATGTTGTAAAATTACAGTCTAGAACTAGAAATGGCACCTAATGGGGGCTCAGAGAGCAGTTTTCTTGTCAAGGCAATTAGGCGATTCTCCATTGCAAACCTCCAAAGTCACTTTTACTCTTGCTTCAATTTCCCAGCAATCATGGCCATTATTGACCATTTCCTCTTCCAACTACCATGCTGCCACTTCCCTTTTATTGTTTTCTTCCGTTACACCTTTTTATTCTGTGTGTGTGTGTGTGTGTGTGTGTGTGTGTGTGTGTGTGTGCGCGCGCGCAGTGGGTAGGGAGAGCCCTACCATGTCGAGGTCAGAGGACAACTTCATGTCAGTTCTCTTCTTTCACTTTTATGTGGTGACCTAGTTTTCTTCTTTTATGGCTGTGGTTATCATATTCTGACCAAAAGCAACTTGAGGAGGAAGTTGACTTCATCGTCAGGGTTCACAGTTCCTCGGAACGTCAGGGTAACGCATGGCAGGAACCGGAGACAGGAGCTGAAGCAGAGGCCATGGAAGGGCACTGCTCGCTGTTTGTTCTCCATGCCTTGCTCAGCCTGACCCAAAAGCACCTGCTTCAGTTGTGTTATTGCCCCCAGTGAACTGGATCCTCCCACATCAATTATGATCAATTAAGAAAAGCTTCCTACAGATTTGCCTCCAGACCAGTCTGATGAGGTTCCCTCTTCCCAGATGACTCTAGTTCATGTCAAGTTGGCAAAAACAAAACAAACACCCCCCCCAAACCAAAAAGCCAAACCAAAAAACAACCAGCCCATATGGGTGTCAATGACCAAACTCAAGACTTCGTTCGTGGCTAGGGCTTTTATCGACTGAGCCACTTCACTGTCCCCTTCCTTCCTTTCCTTACCAGAGAGAGATTACTTTTCAGATTATTTTTAGGACCTT